ATACATGAAGCTCTTTTTGCTTCGTCACTATGGTTTTTGATCTTTTAGATGGATAATGGTATGCAGCCTAGTCACAGGTAGAAAAAATATTAGTAGTTCAGGTTCAGACCATTTCAACATGATTTTCATGATATATCGCCAAACACGTTTTCATTATTTATGCAAAAACGTGTAAAAAAAGTCATTGTAACTTGGTATAAGCTATCTTTCCCAGTAACCGATGGCTTTGTATAACAGGGCAATCTAGTAAAAAAAAAAAAAGTGGCAGGATAGTAAAGGAAGTGTGGTACTAATAAGAGCTATAGAGCATGCCATCAAAAACTAACAATAACACACTGAAGCTAGTGCCCCACCACTACAGTTTTGAATGCAGTTGCTGGACCTCCTGGAAAGAGTTGTGAGGAGAGTTGACATACTTTGTGACTAATTAGGCTCTCAGAACTTCGGCATCAAGACACTTAAAGAGGTGTAAATTGATTTCAAGTTTCTGGCTTCCTTCACAGGCAAGGACTTTGTTCCTGAAGTTTCGAATCTGTGACCATTTCGGCTGTGGGCTTAAAAAAATTGTCCCAATTTAGACCCTAGACTAAAGGCTAGTGTATAAGAGGCCTGAAGACTTATTTCAAGTTTGGAAAGCCGTATATGACTGGGATATTGCTCAAAAAACTTTAGCTTTTTGGCCTTCGTAACTAGATTAAAAAATGTGACTAGGCAGACAGCTGGACAAACATACAGGCAGGCATGATATTTACTGTTTTCGGCTTATTGCGTCTCTGTGTTGCAAAGCATAAAATGATTCCGCCTTCAAGCGTTTTTGTGGTGCAAAACGCATAAAAAGCAAGAATTTGGGCAGTAGCATTCAAAAAGTAAGTTCTGGTAAAATTTACTAACTTTTTAGTTAATTCGCCATAAAATTCAGCAGGCATAAGTGTTAAAGTGACAGCCATTGGCGCATCTTCCAGCAACTCTTTCAACTTTTTGTTCTGGAAGACAGCTCATAAAATACCTGTGAACTGTCCAAAAAAAAGAAAAAACACGCAAAATTATCATGATTGCTGAACAGTACGAATGGTTCCACTCTTTTGCTAACAGGTGATATTCATGACTGAGTTCCGTCTTATCTTTAGGATTTAGAACGGTAAGAAAAGGGAAGGAGTGGAGCTCATTCAATCGACGCTGCTCGGCCCATTTAGCAAAGTAGCACCTCGTCTCCTTCAAGCCAGTCTGGTACCTGAATTAATTTTCCCACGCGAGCGATTTTGACATTCCGTTACCAAACTTTGTCCAAAAAATCAAATTTTCTATTCCACTCCAGCAATTCCAGCTAATCTCATGTATGACGCCTCCATTTTGTTGTTTGAATTGTTGTTTTGAGATCAAAAAAACCTTAAAGGCCATG